TTCTCTGATATCGCAGAGGAGGAACATCGATTGGAAGCAAAAACGATGGGGAAGAAGAATCCTAATTTCATACGGACCAAAACAAAAACCAGAAGGTGGGCTTTGAATATGAAGCAAGCCCATGTCCATCTGAAATTGGCGACGAAAAAAAACACGTGAGATCCATAACCAAATCACATGCTGACATGTGGCGAGAAAGCCCCCAATCTTAAAAAGTGACGCGGACAGCCTAAGACGACAGATAACCCTACTTTACTAGTATAGATAGATAAGATATATATTTGAAGTATTTTTTTCTAGAAGTTTTCTTATAAACCTTATTGAGAACTTACCCTGGTCTGGTCAACCATACTTTGAAATGGTGAAAAGGACCGTAGCTTTATTCCCTTGAAAAACATGCAAGAATGAAGTTGGTGGTGCCTTGAGTTGCATTGTGTCGTGCGGCTGGTGATCTTTTTCAATTTGATCAGTCGAACTCAAGCTTGTATCCAGGTCTTCTCTGGGTCCAGTTGGGGTTTCTTGGGAGATCTCTTTAGTCAACAGCTTCTTTTTGAGGTCTTCATGCTCTAGAAGTATGATGAGGCTTTCTACTGACTGGTTGAACTCTTCTCTTAAGCTTCTGGTTCCGGACCTTTTCCTTGGTGTTTGTCTCATGGTTGTGATGGCTTATGCTATGGCATCATATTAGTCTTACAAAAAACTATAATCTAGAGAATATAAAAGATAAATGGAAATTGAAGTGCAAGGAACACGAGATTTATCGGGGAGATTGAGTGTTGTGATGTTTTAATTTCACTTTGAGGTATACGATATCATGCAAGTGATCGCTACCGGGAAGATTGAATGGTATGCTACTTTTTATACAGTAAAAACTCTGAAAACTAATAGAATTATGATATTTTATTAATTTACGTAAACCTTTTTTTATGTTTTTTATATATATGAAGTATATTTTTCTATCTTCTTTCTTAAAAGCTATGACATCTCCTTCTGTTCCCCGACTCCGGCTGCACTCATAAAGCCGGAATCATGTTTAGATTCCCGCTTTTTGATAATTATCTCAGTTTCACTCTTTTCACATCGGTAGATTTCTCTAGATCTAGATCTAGTTTCAATCCATACTGGAATGATTGTGAGTGGTCTGATGATCTTCATCATACAGTTCAAGCTACTTCTAGGCATCTCTGGTTAGGTCTTATCCTACCTGCTTGATCTGATCCAGTATCTTTTGCCTTCCTTTACTTCGCATGTTGGATTAGAATTACCTTTGTCTCTTCATTGGTTTGATCTTCTGTCTCCTGTCTCCATGCATGTGTCAGAATCTGGTGTTGATTGCATTTGCTCCTTGTCATTAATCTTTGGTTCTGATCGAGATCTGTTCTTTCGAAAGCTTCAAGCAGGCGTTTCATGTCGTCATCCATTTGACTCCGCCGTCTCTGGTTTGTAGACAGGAAAATAAATTGTTCCTTTGTTCTCCTGGATCTTGTTGCTTTGGACTATCAATTGTTTGGGCATTCACTATACGAGGTTTCTTGTCTCGGTGGTTTGATCAAGCTTATCTCCATAGTCTCTCCAAGGTTCTCTTTCTAATCCACATGCAATTTATTTCTCCATTCTGGATCTGTTTTAATTGTTCAAGATGTCCTAGTTGTAAGCTTGTGTTGTATTCTATGTTTCGGTTTAGTTGTATGTTTTCATGTTGTCTCTCTCTTGTGGGCTTATGTTTCCAGGGATGTTATCTACTCTGCCGGCCTGTTATTCTGGGATTACTTATACTCGTCGACCTAGTTTGTAACGATGGTGTTAAAGTTAATATAATGATCTTTAGTATTAAAAAAGAATATTATTCTGGAAACTTTTGTATCCCTTTCTTATTATTTGAGGGGCATTTTTTTTTTAAAAAAACTCACCCTCATGTATGATTAACAATTTTTCTATTTCCTAGGTGTCAACACCACAATGCACCTCACATCCTTTATTGAATAACTCTTTATTGCTTAGATTAATTACATGTCATATCATTGATATATAAACCTACAAAGTTATTATACTATATGTTTCATTTTATATGCATGTTTCAGTTCGAAATTACACTATACACTTTATAGTATATATGTATTTTTTTGAGTTCAAATGTTATTGACATATAAACAAGTGTATATTAAACTATATGTTATTTTTATGTTTATGTTATATAACCTATACATATAAATATATAAGTTTATATCAAAATACTACACAGTATATAAGTAATTTGTTTTTCGTTTAAAAATGTTAATGACATTTAAATAAATATAAATAAATGTATAACATAATATATGTTATTTTTATGTTTATGTTCATGATATATATATATATATATATGTGTGTGTGTGTGTGTGTGTCTATAATTTTCAGATGTATATAACAAACTATATGTTATTTTTTTTCTATGTTCATACTATATATATATATATGTTATTTATTTATACAGAACTTTAACATCTAATTCGTGGCTATAATTTATTTTTTTCTAGATCTTCAATAAAATTCATAATCATGTGTTTATGTTAATGGTCAAGCTTGCTATAAATGATAATAAGCATAAATTATGTCACTAATTTATGCACTCAAAAGGATTATAACTGAAAAAGTTACAATTACATTTGCTTTAGTGTTTGCCAATTAGTATTGTAAGAACCACAATCAATTAGGGATTCTAAACATATTTGTTTCAATCGGGTTATCACCATATTGATATTCAAATTTATATATGAAAGACAAAGAACTTAAATGATATATAAGAAATATACATTTAAAAACCAATAAAAGCATTTGTTTGTAATACTCAACCTTCCAAAAAATAATATATACACATTACATGGATTTGAATATTTTTTTCAAAAACAAAGAGGGATCTTGGTAATACTCATTGAATGATTTTTAAAAATAAAGGTACAAGTCTCTAGAATTTAGAATGAACGTTGGAGTATTTTACGCATATTCTAAACATAAATGTTATCAAATTGATATAACAATATTTCACTAATCTCAAGTATAATATATGTTTCTTTCCAATTATGTTTCCTTTATTGCAATTAGGAATTTGGTTTGACTTGATTTTAGGCCATAATTAAGAACATTCTAATTTATATAAACAATATTATAAACATAAATGTGATCAAATTTATATAACAATATTGTTGACATAATCTGAAATATAATATCATAAAATATGTTTGTATGTTTTCCTTGATTTTAATTAGGGATTTTGTTTGGTTTGATTTGAGGCCATAATTATAATGCAATGTATCACTACAGCTGGTTATAATTGAGATTGATATTCGAATTTATATAAACAATAATCTAAACATAAATGTTATAAAATTTCTACAACAATATTACATATCATAATCTCAAGTAATGTTTCTTCTTTCCAATTATTAGCTAGGCGAGATTTCAATTAGTGATTTTGTTTGGCTTGATTTTAGACCATAATTATGATACGCAATTAACTCTTATTTCAACCTCTATGAATTATATATATCTCCTTAAACTAATCTAAGAACATCATCACAACCTAAACATTTCTAAAGCGTAATAAAAAATGAGTGGACATCAATTCATCGCTAATCTAAACCCTAAGAAGTCAATGTGAAAAATAAGAGTAAAAATGATATGTGGAAGCAGTATGCTACTGCTGTTAGAGAGACCATAGAAACGATTTTGGTAGATGTAAAGGTACGTTCGTATTATCAGAATATTGTTAATACATATTTTCTGTGTATTTTATTATATGTATCTGATATCCATGTTTTTCTACAGGGAGATAAAATCCATACATCGATTAACTATGAGTTTTGAAGACAATTTTACTTGCGATGATTTGCTGTTTTAATTTATTTTTCTATTACCTATGTTGCTTTAATTAGTATCATCAAAATTCTATGATGAATTAGGTAATTATATTACCTATGATTTGTTTGTTTTTTTTAATTCCTAATAAATTTCAATAAGCCTTTGTTTAATCTTATATGTTTTTTCATGTAATAAACTTTAATGTACATATCCAAGTACACAAAAAAATTGGTAAAAACCAAATAATTTTACATTATATAAACATGCACATTATAGTAACATATATCATTATATAACATATTCGTGATTTTTGAATTTCTAATATCTATAAATGATTCAGTAATACTCTATTTAATTCACTCATTATGCGCAGGGTGCGGATTACCACCTAATAAACAAACTATTTTGATAAAATTATTCCAGGGCGAGAATTTAGACTGTACAATTAAGCCCAGCTCAACCTAATCTTGATAAAAGAAAATAATAACATAATCTTGATAAAACTCGAATAATAATTTGCTAATCAGTGACATCTTTAAACCGTATTATCTGCTTAGATCCGTGACCTAAAGATTTCCTAATAAAACAAAGTGTTAAAAAAGTTTTTCTAATAGGACCAATATAATATCACCGCTATATAAACTAGTTAAAGTGCTCACGAGTCTCTAAACGTTATCTGCTGATGAAGAACGGACAAGAAAATTCACCTGTCAATATGATCATAGATCTTCCGGATGATTTGCTTGGCTCGTGTTTCGAGATTGTACTACCCGATTCTCTCTTAAGTTGCCAAGAGACTTCGCTCTCTCATTGCATCTCTTGAGCTTTACCAAACCCGAACACTCTTAGGCTACAGTGAGAGTTGTCTTTATGTGTACTTAGGTTTCAATTATGGTTCTAACCCACGTTGGTTCACTGTATGCCGAAGACCAACTCGAAGCCCTAACCCTAGCCTAGGATGGTTCACTCCATGCTTTAGACTTTCATACAATCTTATGGTCTCAGTCCCAGCTAGTAACTTCTCTGATGTGGATTGGCCGTATGGTGCAATTGGTTATAATAGCTAAACCATTGCCAAATACGTAAACGGAACTAGGGATACCACGTCATCTAGGGTCTTTTACTTGGATTGTCGGTCTCACACCTGGCACGAAGCCTCAAGCATGCGGATGAACAGAAGCTACCCACACATGAGTGTTCTGGATGGGAAACTATATGTAGTGGAACAAGGGAACGTTTCTTCCTCGAATTCGATTGAGATATTTGATCCGAAAACCCAAATATGGGAGTATGTGACATGCCCTTTAGCAGAGATATTAGGCCAGAGGTCTATGTTAACCAGCTTTGCAATAGACGGGAAGCTTTACCTATATGGAGATAAGTGTATGGTTTACAAACCCGTGGAAAATAAATGGGACGTCTCCAAATTAAAGGATACGAGAATCTTTTCCGTTGGACTCAGTTTAAAATTTCTTGTGTAATAAACAACGTAATCTACAGTTATAAACTGTCCCGGGTGCTTTCATGGTACGACACCGATGGAAGATTGTGGAGATATGTGAAGGGTTTGGAAGAACTTCCGAAACTACCGAAGAGTTTTGTCGTCTCAGGTTGGTAAATTATGGTGGAAAGATTGCGGTTTTGTGGGAGAGGAGTGCTGTGATTTCGGTTGAAAGGCGCAGCGGACACGAGATTGATGGGAAGATTGAGTGGTGCAATGTTGTATTTACCGTCCCTAACTCATGTAGTTTATCGGAGTTTCTTGCTGTTACGGTCTGATGAATAAGATCACGTTAGTCGTTTACTTCATTTGGTTTTGGAGAAGATGATGGATTTTTAATAAAATGCATATGAATACATATGACGTTTCTTTGTTTCTCTGTCTGATGCTTACTCTGTTCTAGCTTGTTTCTATTTTTATATGTGCTTAAGTTTCACTTTTATATTTCAATCTGAACATAAGCTACGTTGTAACATGGTATGAAATCCATAATAGAGTATTCTTTTAGAGTTACTGTTTCTTTAGTTGTGGTAGACATGGCAATAGGTTTTGTACATAATAGATTTGGTCAAGTGATAAATTTTAAAAGTGTTTCTAAATTTTTATTTGATTCTTTAAAATTAATTAGATTAAGTGAACTTCAAACTCATTGCATGCACCAAATTTTACAATAATTTTTCTCTCTTGCTGAATCTTCTGATTTTGATTTGAATGTTCTTTTTTTGAATTGAGAATCATGCAAACGACTTTCACTGACGTGTATCTATTAACATAGTGAAGTTTGTGAATATATTGAAACTTTGAAAGTGTGGATTATTAATGTTTCAATTGCTTATAGAATTTTTTTAACTACACTTGTGACTATAGCCTCAGCAGAGAGGAGCTTTTCACTATAAAAGTTACTGAAAATTTATTTTAAGTTTTAGTGTTTGTTTGTGAAAAATAAAAATATATTAATTCATAACTTGGTTTTGTATCAACAATATCATAAACTGCATTTTTCATATGTTGTGTCTATTTTACAAATTTTTTTTCCAGTGCCTATAATGTTTGAGCCAGCCTTAACTATGAACTTTTTTTTTTGTAACTGAATAATGCATTAAATCGAAAAGGCCTCGGGTCCAAGTTAACCCAAAGGTGGGCTTGATACAAGACGGCCCCTAAGGGCGTTTTTTGCCAGTGTGTCGGCATCAATATTGAGATTACGAGAAATTGAAGAAAATTCGATATCGACGGGAACAGAGGCGATCTGCTGGATATCTTTGACGATTCCAAAAAACTCCTTAATCTGAGCGTCGTTTTTGATTGCTCTGATGAGCGTTGAGTTATCGGAACACATCCTGATTCTTGGGAGGTTCTGGTTGACAGCAGCGATGAGTCCTCAGCGAAGAGCAAGAGCTTCGGCTACTAATGGGGAACTGACTCAATCCATGGTTGTTGAGCCTTTTAGAGTGTGATGATTCGTTAAGCCGGATATTGACCATCCAAAACCTGCGCTGTTGGAGTTCTTATCCCAGGCCGCATCTGTCTTGACAGTTACAAATCCTTCACCGGAGTTGCGTTGGAGGTCATTCCCTGCGGGTAAATGTTTCTTGGTGTTGGTGATCGCGCCTTGAGCAAGTTCCACTCCCTTGCGAGGCGAGTTCCTTTTGCTGCAACTTCCTCTGCAGTTTGGAGCTTGCCCTCGAAAATTAGGAGATTGCGGGCCATCCAAATGACCCAGCATATCCAAGGTAGGATGCTTCCTAAGATTCCTGAGGGTGGGAGACATATGACTTTCCTGAATTTGATTATCACTTCTTTGAAACTTGTACATGTAGCTAGGTGAACTACTTGGTGAAGGGGGATAAGCTTCCAGACTTCTCGAGCGAACCTGCAATCAACGAAGGTATGGAACGCTGTTTCCTTTTCGTTGCGTCTAGTACACAAGGCTTCTGCTTGAACTCCTCTGTTTTGTAGATTATCTCCCAGAGGCAAGGCTCGTTGAATGATAGACCACAAGAAGACTTTCATTTTAGGTGAATACTTCCCCGACCAGACGTCTTTGATCCAATCAAACCCCAAAGGTTCTGCCAATTGGGGCGACTTTGTGGTCATAACTGCTGTATTGTACCCGGATTTGGTAGAATAGACACCTGATTGTAGCGGCTGCCATATGTATATATCTTCAGCTCCCTTTCGACTTGGTTGTATCATCTGTATCTGTTTTTCATATTGAGGTACGAACTCCTCAATTCTCTTAACGTTCCAGAGTAGATCATCCGTGAGTAGATCAGCCACTGTTAGGTCAAGTGCATTTTCTGGGATAGGTCCTGTTATTTTCAAGTTCTCCTCTAGGGAAATCCACGAGTCATTCCAGACTTTGGTAGTCTGCCCATTGCCTATAGCTTTGCCAATGTTCCCTTTTAGGAGGTCCCTGCCATGCAATAAGCTTCTCCATCCGTGAGAGCAGACAGCTGGTACTTGCACGTCTAGGAAAGATTTCTTATGACAGTATTTGTCTAGGAATATTCGTGACAATAGGCTTCCTGGATTAGTGAGGATCTTCCATGCTTGTTTTGCCAACAAAGCTTGGTTAAAGAGTTGGATGTCTCTGAACCCTAATCCCCCTGCTGCTTTAGGTTTCGTTAGACGATCCCAAGATACCCAGCACATTTTCTTCTTGTCCCCCAAGTCATCCCACCAATATCTAGTTAAGACTGACTGTATTCTCTTACATAAGCTTGCAGGTAGTTCGAAACAAGACATGGAATACGTAACTATGAACAAGACCAATTAGCAACAAGCCTAAGCGTAACTTAAGATGGTTCTAACCGTTAATGTTTGCTGTGCATTTCTCTTAAAAGTTACTCTGCGTTGGCATGTTCTTTGTGCAGACAATGCAAGGCATATACAACTGAAATGACGTTTTGTTTGAAAACTTATAATCCCTCCCAACAATAATATTTTGTCTAGTGCTATGTTACCCGGCCCAAGACGGATACGGAGACATATAGGGGTACGAAATAAGATAAGAAATTACAAAACTAAAAATATATAGATACGAGTACAGCATATATATTAATATAAAATATATATCTACTCATATATTGACAAATAAAATAGAGTATTTGAGCCCAATATTCTATAACTAGTTGGAAATTAGGCATATACCCAAACGAAAAATATGAGGCCTGAATAATGTTTTATGGGCTTGGGAATTGACGAATATGTCCCTCGGTGTAAAAATGAAGAAGGTATTATAGGGTGATTTTTTGTAGATTTCATAACGATTTAGAAAATATTTGAGAGAGATTTTTGTTTCCTTACCGAGGAGGTTAGAGGATTTTGTATCAGAGGAAAGCTAATCTGGGCCGTATAAACTCTGACACATACGGCGTCGAGATTGCGTATCCATCAAAAGATCTGTAGCATATATATATATACAAAAACGTAAGCAATGGAGACCTTTCATTATTTTTATCCTTTAGTCTATAAAAAAGAATAACCTCAAGCTTCTATCCAAATCTCCCTAACACAGACTTTCGGTCATTAATCAACAAAAGAAAGAAGCCAAAATTTTCCTTTTTCATCACCTTTCTGCTGAGTTGGTGGTGCGATCCTGAGCATGCTCAAACTTAATAGATGGGATCCAATGTATGGACAAGCTAAGCTACTGACCAAAGCTTGGCTTAATGGTCAGTTTCATCATCTTATTGGCATGATCTATGAAGCTTTGGATAGAGAGAAGAGAAGAACTCTTGGTACAGCTTTGAAACAACTTGAACAATCAGCTGAGACTAACATGAGCTGGATCCGGACACAATACAAGCTGTTCTGAACATGTAGATCAATCTGCAGACTCATCTTGGTGTGGAGAACATTCTGATCAGGAGAGAAACAAGTAGGATCAACTTCAACAATCAGATGGCATGCTAGCTTAATGGAGGATGCATTAGCTTCTCAACTGGATCAGTCACAAGATCAAAGGCCAAACTGCAGGGACAACATCTTCTTCACTTGTTGCTGGCGTGAATGTTGCAGGAGACAGAGATAATCTGCAGAGAAATAAACCAGCCTGTTGGTTTAGTGTTATTTCAATTTGTTTTAATTTGAACCAGTAAACCAAAGCCAATTTCGTTTTGTATTAGACCAGGGGGTAAACCAAACTCAATTAGGATTGGATTAGGATTAGAGTAAACCAGTTTGGTTTAGGATTAGGGGATTTGGGTGTTTCCTATTTATCTTGTACGCAGACACATTGCAGAAATCAATCGACATTTTTTCATCTCTTTGTTTTGAGTTTTCTCAATTCTGCTGGTGTGTAATATCCAGCTTGGGATCTCTGGTTTAGTGTGTCATATCTAGATCAGTGTCCTTTGGAGTATCAGGAGTCGAGCCATAACTCTTGTGTCCCACATCGATCCACAAGCCTTGAAGCAGATTGAGTCTTTGATTCTCTGTTTGCAAGGATTATCAAAGCTTTTACCCACCTACAAGAGATTCAGGGAGAGACAGCCATTCCACGGCTATACCAGTTGGAAAGGTAGTGTGAAACTACGTAACTTGTCGTCAAACCCTTCTTTATTAATTCTTCTACATTTAATGAGATCACCGAAACCTCCTTAGCATTAATCCCAAAATCGTATTTATAGTTACAACGGTCACTTGTGTTGTGTTTTATTGATTATTGTTTTCGATTGCAAACCCTAAATCAATGACCTCCTAAAATAAGGAACTTATCGGTGATGAGCTATCTCATGTTTCAATTTTTCCTCGCAGATGAGCATCTGTGTGAAGCTATGGCGCTGGGAATGGAAGAAGAACGAGGATGAGGAGTGGCATTTCCACCCTGATGAAGATGAGTTGGGAAAAAGGGTCATGATCGACGACAATGTAACCTATGATTTATTGAGGCTATGGTTAGGAGCCGCTATTCACCAAGACCGTCAACTCCTCTTGTTCTAAGCTTCCGGCTCCCATTTTGGATGTTATCTCCGG